TTATTTCTGACGAAGGTGCAATGTTTCCTTTACCATTGCTTAAAGTATTTAACTTAGACAGCTGGAAGTTCAAAATCCTGTCAGGACGTGAATAGAAAGATTCAGATGTGTGTGGCCTCAGATAATCTGCATCACAAAAGCCTTTTTCCATCTAGATAATTTCTTGTGTTTTTCTCTTTAAGGTCCAACACTGAATCCCAACAAAATTACAGTAGGAGGTAAGACAGATGTGCTTTCATTTCTAATCGGAAGAAATTAGTGAAAGATGAATATGGAAGCAGTTTAGTTGATACAGGAGCCGATATTGATGTTCTTTGAAATAGAGAAAAGCAACCTTCCTCTGGAAGATAGTCTCAATGGGGTGATGGCTTTTACGGCTAACGTAACGTTACGGCTAATTTTGGCCAATCTACGGCTAACGGCTAAATTTTTGGCTGTTGTAAGGCTGTCGGATAACTCCATTAACACCCTCCGAGAACAAAACTGATCATGAAAAAAAATTATCAAGAAATTATAATCTCTAGAAAAAAAATTGATGAAGTGTTGAAGCTCATCTACAAAGCCCATCAAATGAATCTTTCAAGTTAAGATTTTGTTAATCCGATTAAAAAAAATAATATTGTGGCAATCGCATATGTTATCCAGTAAATTTCATAATTTTTCTACGCTTTGTGCGTTAAACATTGACTCGGGAGCTGAGACGGCCAAGATCTGATTGTTAATTCTCCCCTTTAGCTGCTACAGGCATTTCCTTATAAATGCTGGAGGAACGAGAACTTGGTGTTAGCAACTTCTAAGTGATAAGTTTGATTATTCTCATTGCCTGTTTGCTGGATAATGTATGGATATTATACTAGGAGAAATTACATGTAAATCACTTGGGGGAGTTAAAGGGCAAACGGGTTATGGGTCAGAGTGACGTGTTACAGTGAAACCTCCATTTAACGAAATGCCAAAGGACCGGGGAAATTGGTTCGTTACATCGAGGGTTCGTCATATCGAAAACCTCGATTTAACAAATTTGCGGAAAAACAACCAAAATGTTCGTTATGTCGTGGCATGGTTAACAATTTCCTTCTTTTTCTTCTTCCTTTTTTTTTTTTTTTTTTTTTTTTAAGGAGTGAGGTACCACAGGAATCGGAGCAATTATTGTAAATTATATTACTTCTTTAATGTCTATGTGAAGAATTATTTTTAAAAACATTTTTTAAAAATCTAAACTAGTGAGCAGCACTCAGCGAACAGTGGTTGTAAACCTTTTTAATTCTCCGACGTGTTTCGTCTAACTGTCGTAGACTTGAGGGAGTTTTACAAGTTAACACGAAACGCCTGTATTTATAAACCATAGTCAGCGGCTTTTACTGGGGCCAATGACCATATAGGCTTGGCTGGACTTACGAACAGGAACAGGCGAAGTTTTGAAAAATTTTGAACACTTTTAAAGCAAGAATAGAAAAATATGTAGGGGCCACGGTTTAAATTTAGTGCTAATTTGTCAAACTTCCTGAAGAAGTCCACGACAGTTAGACGAAACACGTCGGAGAGTTAAGAAGTTTTACAACTACTGTTCGCAGAGTGCTGCTCACTAGTTTAGATTCTTAAAAAATGTTTTAAAAATAATTCTTCACATAGACATTAAAGCAGTAATATAATTTACAGTAATTGCTCCGATTCCTGTGGTACCTCACTCCTCCAAAATATTTAGGAAATTGCATTTGCGAACGATGTCCGCGCGATGAGGCCCTTTCAATGCCGCCACAAATGTCAAAAAAATGTAACTCTTAAAGAGATTCAATCAACACTTTATTCACAGAATACAGTTATCAATGTTACATGCATGGCTTCATTCAGTTACATTACAATCAATAAATCCTTGCCGCAAACAGCAATATGGCTCAATCAGCATCAAGCAATCATGCCCTCTTGATTACCAATAGTGCCCACGTGATTAAGAAAAAAATACTCTCTGTCGCAGCAAATCTGCATTCAGTAATTTTGCCCCGCATGTGATAAAACTCTGAACCATCATCAAAAGATCAGTACTGTAGAACACTTAGAATAAAATAATGTTTAGACTCGAACTTGAAATGTGTTAGTAAGGGGTGGCTTCCGGGCAGTTGTTGAGAAGTTCAACGCTCAAATTCTGTGGCTGTTCTGCGCTTCACAGCTGCTCCAAAATTTACGGTATCGCAAAGAAAGATGAGGCGCAACCTTTTTCAAGTACCCGTTGGAAACTCTGTAAAGCTGGACTGTTCTGCCGATGGAAACCCTCGTCCTACCGTGAAATGGTACAAAGACGGAAACTTGTTTAAAGAAAGGAGAAGTGGCTACAAACTGTATTTGAGTCCATGGACAACCATGTTGAGTCTGAAGGACTTGGTTCCCTATGACACTGGGTCATACATGTGTAATGTGAGCAACTCATACGGATGGATTAATCA